GACCGAGACCAGCGACGTCTGCGTAGAGTTGTCAATGTTCACAGACAAGCAACACTGCGTCAAATAACCGCAGAAATCAATGTGGGACGTACGAGGGACGTGTCCGATAGGACAGTGCGGCGAAATTTGTCTTCCTTGGGCTATGCCAGCAGAAGACCGACTCAAGTGCCTTTACTGACAGCACGACATCGCCTGCAGCGACTCTCGTGGGCTCGTGAGGATATCGGTTGGTCCCTAAACGAATGGAAAACCGTGGCTTGGTCAGATGAGTCACGATTTCAGTTGGTAAGAGCTGATGGTAGAGTTCGAGTGTGGCGCAGACCCCACGAAGCCATGGACCCAAGTAGTCAACAAGGCACTGTTCAAGCTGGTGGTGGTTCCATAATGGTCTGGGCTGTTTTTACATGGCATGGACTCGGTCCTCTGGTGCAACTGAACCGATCATTGACTGGAAATGGATACCTTCAGGTACTTGGAGATCACTTACAGCCATTCATGGACTTCACGTACTCAAACAACGATGGGATTTTTATGGATGATAATGTGCCATGTCACCGGGCCACAATTGTTCGCGATTGGTTAGAAGAATATTCTGGACAATTTCAGCTAATGATCTGGCCACCTAGATCGCTCAACATGAATCCCATCGAACATTTATTTGGCATCATCGAGAGGTCAGTTCGTGCCCAAAACCCTGCACCGTCAAAACTTTCACAATTATGGACGTCTATAGAGGCAGCATGGCTCAATATTCCTGCAGGGGACTTCCAACAACTTGTTGAGTCCATGCCACGTTGAGTTGCTGCACTTCGCCGGGGAAAAGGAGGACCGACAAAATATTAAGAGGTATCCCATGACTTTTGTCACTTCAGTGTAATATGATTAGCCTGAGCGTAGGAAGTAAATACCTTCAGTTTTTACTGTAAAGCAAATTTTCTTTTTCTCCATCAAAGCGACCGCTAACAAACAGAGCTATATAAGAAATAACCACAGAAACTTTCCCCTTCAGGGTGTCCTACTGGAGAACAAAATTGTTCCTTTCTTCGGAGAACAGCCTCACTTGTATAAAAAAGACTATTAATGTTTCGTTCCATTTGTACCATCCCTAGTGGTAAAAGCAGAGTTGAAGAAGTTAATTGGATGTCGACACAGTACAGTAACACACTAAACTTCCTACTAATGCAGTGTCAGGCAGGGAAACTAACAGCTCAACTAAATTCATTTCGTTGAGCTACTATTTAAGGGATTAAGTGAGAGAGAGTGCAAGGAATTTTATCTTTATTTGCCGCATGTCTTCATCATGTAAATGAAATCACTGAATTTTCGTGCTCCTTGCTTCGACAAATCTAATAGATTCTACACTTGAGGTCTGTCTTGCCATACGATATTTCGGACATTAAAAATGAGATTTTTTTAAATGTTTTGGTATAGTCCTTTATTAGTAATATTAATCTCCAAATTCAAATTAAGTAACTTAGAAAGAAATTTTGATTTTACCTATAGGCCAAGAAATAGATAACAATATGCAATTCGGAAATTAAATGTCTTAATAAAATTATATTGCTGCGTGCGTACGGGGTCGTAATAGATTGAATGCACAAGTCCGATAATAGGTTAATAAAAACTTACTTTTATGAAAAGAAATATTTCAGAACTCTGGAATTTTCAACAGAAATATTCGTACGAGTGTTCACACTATCACGCAGTATAATCAGCAATTAGACTTCAAACTACTAAGAACGTTAAACACAACGCAATGCAATGCGCATCTAAAGACAAAGCTAACTCGGATATCTCAGTTCACGCGGAGCTAAATAACTCGCAACAACAATAACTAAGCAACTGAGAGCAAATGCTTTCTCTTCGGCCTTAAATAGTTTTCAACCGGCCGCGAGATATTTCTAGTATTTTCTGCTTCTGGAAATTACTGGAAAGGAATACGAGGATGGAATTACGGTTACAACTAACATAGTGGTCGATTACATTTATTCAGTTACGATACTTGTTACGGTGATACAAGGACCGGGCCAAAATGTCGCCAAACGGTCGTCAAATTAGGCGACTTATGGCCATTTCTCGCCTAAATTCATGACAAAATTAGTCTCCAAAACCGTTGTCAGCTTGGCATCATCTCGCCAAATTGCCGAGATACCCATTTACTCAATGTTAAATGCACTTGCTCGTGTATTCTTACTTTTCCGGCATAGATTTCCCTTAAAATTTGTCTTGCGCTACATTACACAGAAAAATATAACAATTTTACTTATAATTCTACTAAAATTAACTGCCTAAGTACAAAATTCGTAACAATATAGAAATATTAAATAACAATACATGTAGTACATATTAAATAACAGTACGTATTAGTACATGTAGTTTCTATGCGGATTTTAATATTTAAGTTCTTCCATTACTTCAGAATTCACATAACGGGTAATTCTTCCCTTTGCATTTTTTAAAGAAATTTTTAAAAAAGTCATCATTTAAGGAAAGAAAACGGAGAAACTAAACAAGTAAATATGGTATTCATTTTAGATAAAAACTGTCTTATGAAAAAAAAAAAAAAAAAAAAAAAATAATTTCTTAAATGGCTTTATGAGGATCTGCTAACGATTTAGTTGATAGTAAAATGCACAGTACGCCAAGGAACCCAATGAACTCACTGATTTTATTTTCAAAGGGTCTGCACGTGCTCCTTCCAATTGGAAGCAGTTTAGACGCCATCACGTCTTCTATTACATAAACCAATGAGTGACTAAAGCGGCACAACATTACTAGTTCATTCCAGATTCTGAATTGAGATACTTGCATAAAGTTTTTTTTCCTATCTAATGTAATATTGATCACTTTCTCTTTGATGAAGGCAATCCTCATCATAAGCGGATAACTTTGAGAGTGCAGACTCATTAGATTCATTTCGGAGCAGAAAGCGTGTAAAATGACCGATGCGATCCCGAGATTCAAATCCCGGCTCTCCCAATTGCTAGACAAGACGTGCTTCCACTCATACCACAAAAAAAAACGCGGTAAGGAGGGAGATAATTCCTTACCATGTTTTATAATAGAAACCAATCTCTAAAACCTTTTCTTCAGGTTTCGAAGCGTCATCAAGGCGGAAATGTTCCTGTACTGCATGTTCCATTGGACAATTTTGGATGATTAATCTCCTATATGAGCATAATAACTTGATACCAGTTATGATGTTTCTAGAACAAATCGGCATGCTTCATCACGTCAAACATGGCAGTATCCAACAATTCATTTATGAATGACAAGAGATGAAATGCTTCAAAAAGATGTACCATTCTTCATCTCGTGGAATTTAGTCCATTAAGGCAAACCAGGTTCCGAGAAATTTTTGCAAACAGAATTCATTGAATCATTCAGTTGAAATAAAAATTTCATTTGTGAAGCTAATTTGGAGTATAGGGCTTCCGGAAGTAGACGATACATCATTTAAACCCGAAATTAATATAGTGAGAAAATTCAGTTTTAACTACTATTTTATATTATCACTTACTCAAAGTATGTAACAGTTTACTGTATACATTGTATGATAAGATTAGTTTTAATTTTTTTTAAATGTTAAAAAACGTTGAACATTTGAAACGTTATAAATGTTGAGATTTTTTTTTTTTTTTTCTAAATTAGCTAAGAAATGTATCTATAAAGAAGAAAGTTTGTGTGTTTGTCCTCTAATAACTTAATTACTACTACAGCTATCGTCGCCAAACTTTCTAACATTCTTTTCTGGGTCCTGGAAAAGGTCGACGTCCACTTTTTTTCAAAAAAAAAAAAAAAAAAAAAAAAAATCAGAGATACTAATTAAAAACTCAGAAAAACGAGTGCCAATAGTCTCTCAAGCTGGAGATGAAAATCTGCTTCTTTTCGAAAGTTGATGCCACTGCTCGCTTTCAAATCGTAGGGTTTGTTAATAAAAAATTTCTGAGCTTTACAACAAAATAAAAATAACATTGCCAAACCTTAAATACATTATTCCCGATTCCAAAACTTCGTGGGAAGTCATTTCGGCGATTCCTGTCTTCGCACGACTTTAATCAGCCGAAATATTAATTAAAAACTCTGAATGCGCAAATTTGGCACTCATTTTTCCGAATGGCGACAGTGTCGAGCGTTTGAGATAAAAATGCTTTATTTCGAAAAATTTTGCTACTGCTCACTTTCAAATCGTATAATTTGTTTATCAAAAATTTGTAAATTTTACAAAATCTGTACATATAAAGAAGAATGCCTGTTTGCGTGTTTGTTTGTTCGCGTTATTGATTTCCGATCATTTATGATGAATTTTTTACCACATTTAATCGACTAAAATTGAATATAGTTGAAATATTGGTTGGAACTTGAGCCTTTAGGAGCATTTAATTGGAAAGTCAAAAACCATTGAAAACTGCATGCCATTGTTGCTGATATAATGAGAGAGAGTTAGCTTATTTTTCTATCGAAATTTTTTATGTGGGTTCCAAATCACATCAGACTGAAAAATGTGTAACTATGAATCGTATTTTTTGCATCGTTATTGGAGAAGGATTACAGCGGTCTCGTTCTCTCTATTGTTAGATACATTACTCTCAATCTAACTTAACTGGCATCGGGTACTTCCGCTTATAATACAAAGAAAAACTGCAGTTTCCGTTCTGGGGGTTCGTTCTAAAATAATTTATTAATATATTGTTGAAACAGAAGAGCTTTTTCAGTAACCTGCTTTCTTCCAAAAGTACAGGTGATCTTCTGTTTCATAACATCAGATGCTTTCAAAATAATTCTAGATGTTCTGAAGATGCAAACATTTGTTAGTTTGCGAAAGCAGATCTCCGAAATATTGATTAGATTAGACCTAGAGCTCCTTGGACTTAATAGCAACATACCTTTCATTTCCAGAAAGTTTATAAGAAATGTTTTTAACTTTATTATTTATGTTATCCATTAACACCAATAAAATGTTTTCACTAACACAGTATAATAAAATGTATGTTTCTCAGCATGCTTTCTCAGAGAAACCGCGACTGGTACCTTTTGAACCGGAAGCCACAGCAATGCAACCATACCAAGATCTACATTATCAAGATGTTTACTTCGTCTCTGAAGGATTCGAAAATGCCAAGGACAAAATCATGTATGAAGAAATGTTATGTTATTAACATGCCTGTTTATTTTCTTAGCTAACATAGTGTATAGAGAGTATAGCACTGGAAACGAGGAAGAGTCAGAAACTGACTTTAATATCACATCAAAAAATCAAAATGGTGTAGTCGACTCGCGTCAGTATGACTCATAAAAACATCCAAGCTTATCTTCCATAAGCCTTATATTTATTCGATATACTTGAAGTAAATTCAGATGCAATAAATTATAATATACCGTTTTATTTAATAAACACAGGCTTTATTATTACATTACAATTAAATTAAAACTCAGAACAGGAGTTAATAGACAGCCAAAAATACTTGCACGCACTTAACATGCACCAACGAAGTGCGCAGAAGCGACAAGAAAATTAATCGTTGCCTCTTTGGATGAAATATAAAAGGAACAACATTCCTCCTCACTGATTAGTCCTTAATAAAAACTGATTTACCTTGAAATGCACACATGCAATGATATAATCTAATATGAAATTACACTTATAACACAATCCAAGATTATACGAAAATGTTTTTAGTTTATTTGATCCAACTGACATAGGTAAAATGTATGCAATTACTTTTTAAGAAGAAAGATCTCAGTGGGTTCGTAATTATCATTCACAAGATCCTTCACAATATGATATGTGCTGTCTGCTTGGTTATTTCTCCTACGACTTCTGTTCCTATTTAAAATTTTCATGCGACTTTGATTGCCTTTATAGAAAATACAAACACTTTTTTCCCACGGAAATCTTGCAAGTGTCCTAAGTTAAACTGCTTATTTTGCTACTTTGGCAAGAGCTATAGCTTTTGTTTTTCTTTTAGCGAATATTTCTTATCGAGAAAGTCATTTTCCTAATCTGCAGAAAGTTGTATTTCCCAGTAATATCAAGATTTTTTGCAAACTTTTGCAAAAAGATTTTATGTGATCTTTCAAGTTAACTATTATGATGAAGTATTCACAACTTCTGTAGCAAAATTTCAGCATTTTTTTCAAATCTCATGTTCAACTGAGGTTAGGTTAGCAGCTGCATGGCAACAGTAGGTGTAATCTTCATTGTAATCAATAAACAAGTAAGATAAGTATCTAAAACCCCGAACTCGGAAAGGCTCAGCTTCAGTAGCAAAAGAGTTATATAATTCAATTAATAAATAAAAAATACACTTTTTAATAAATCACTTTAATAATATAGTTTATGCTATTATTTTTAAATAATACAAAAAATATCATCAAAACAGATGACAGAGTAATAAAATCGGATTTGATACTGTAACTGAACTACTGTGTATTGTGCCTAAGTAATGTATATGTGATAACTTCTAGTATGTATACTGTGCATGCATGTTCACCGTTCGTCCACTTGAAACTACGGTTGCAAATGAAATAAGTAATATAAGCTATCAACATGAATCAAAATTTCAAAAAGAAAAAACAGTCAGGCACAATGGACTACAAATACAGATTTTATTATGTGAAATGGCGTCTCTGATCATTACATACTAATGGAAGTTCAGAGCAGAAGTCAGATATTTTTTTATTTCCAAACACATACGCTTAAGGCGCTCCAAACAAGTGAGCAGAAGCGAAATGAACATTAATCATGTCAACTTCGGTTTACATAAATATAACAACAATGATGATTTGAGAGAGCCTTCTTTCTGAATGGTACTTAAATGATTGTTATAACAAGCGTCAAATGCAAGAAGAAACTTTAAACATGCTACGCTTCCTTATTAGAAATGTTACTGTGCTCAGGATTAGCCCTCGTGGACTTCAACAGCCAATGCGGCTCCCATTTGCGAAGTACAAAAAGAAACAAGAAATTATCTTATTTATGATAATAAGAACTAGAAACTACCCTATTTACGAAATTATAAAAGTACTTTTGTTAAACGATTTTATTCAAAGAAATTGAGCAAAATATTAGTGAATGGCTGCAAAAATCTTTCCGGATAATGAAAAGATAGCTGTAAAGAGCAATTCAAAATGCAAATTAGAACAATGAAGTTAAAATTGACATCGAACGCGAAATCACATAAAATGGTACTTTTTTTTTTTAGAATTTAATTCTTTATTGCTTACATATCGCAGTTGTTGAGAAAAACAATTTATATCTCAAATTGCAATAACAATCAACCCGATTAGCCAGAAAGAACCGGGTGGCGAGCCATAAGAAAGCACAGCAAAATTAATGTATCGTAGCGTTTGTCGATAGAGAGGACTGAAGGGTGTACGTTTGTGGAGTTAACTCTAAAAGATGAGAAATACTGATCAAGGTCATTCACGAGCTACTACCTCAGATGATGACCATTATTTGTCAACAACAGTCCTTCGGAACAGATGTTAAAATGCTCCCCAATTGTACAAACAATGTTTAAGGGCAATCGGAGAAAAGTGTATCGATGCAAACAATTCGTACATGTTTTCACTTACGTGGATTATATGCACTTACACCATTTTTTCAATATCCTTACGACCACCTGAACATCGTAGGGATGAAAGAAAGAACTCTGCGATTGGAATCCTGGTCGAAGAGAGGCAAGTCTAGATTCTGCTTAGAGCTAAAAAATCGATGACTGCTGCTCTGGAGATAGCGTAACACCTGATAGAACTCATTATATGAACAAGAAAAGTCGTGTTTTGTTGGAGGCTGTGTATCACTTGGGACAGGGACAAGTTTAAAGAAGCATATTGACATGCGCATCATTCAAATTGGGTCTCTGACAGCTCAGAGTTTACGAAGATGAAATTCTTACATCCTTAGTAGGGCTTTATACTGTTGCTATCAGCGATTCGATACTTTTCATGGAAGACAACATCCGACTATATCGAGGGCGCCATGTATACCAAATGTTTGAAGTGGAATAGTACAGCATAAGGAATAGCTTGCATGCTCTTCGGATTTGAATCCAAAGTAAGTTGTTGGGCGAGGGCGTTGCAACCTTCACCGATGCACTTTCAGTTGAAATTTCTTCTTGAAGAATCTTTAGAAACTTCTTGTCTACCTCATCAGTTCAATGCCCCGTATGTGTGAAGCTGTCTTGCATGTTTAAAAAGGCATCTTATCTTATTAGAAAGCTGACAGAGTTCGCCAAGGCTTATGAATAAATGGGAGTATGGAAATATTAGGAATAAATGGGTTGTTTTATCAGTCAAAAGAGACTTTTTTTCTTATCAAATTTATGCGGAAAGGTAATACATTTATTTCCCTTGAACATTTTGCAGCGTATATAAAATAATTTAGTATTTTCAAAACTATTTCAGAACATATATTATTAAAAAACTATTAAGGTTCCTTTTTGACTCTATCTCGTACTTTAAAGGTATCCATGATTTAAAAATTTAATCCCGTTACGAAGATGATGTTTAATAACTTGCATTTCTGGTAAATTTAATTTACGATTACTGGATTGTTTGTTTGTGACACACTTAAATTTCTTTTAATTTATTAAAAAAGAGACATTTTAGAAAATCTAAAGAAATTTATCATTATTATTTCAAATTTTTCACTTTAGTTCAAATCCATCTGAAGAAAACTACATTGTATAGCCAAATGTCACTCAGTACTTTGGAATTTAAACATTCTTTCGAATTTTTAGAGGAATGCTTTATGAATTGTTTTGTAACTAAACCCATGTATATGACATGCTTAAACTCGGGACCTCCTAGCAAAAATTTAGTCATGAGTGTATTTAAAAAAATGGAAACAAAATAAGTATTAAAAAGTTATTAGTCATCATCCTGCACAAAAAAGCCAGAAAATGATCTGCAACTTTCACAAAACATTATGCCCAATATTCGTATTAAGGTTTCTTTTAAAAATTCGATTTTTTTCGCATGTTCGCATGTTAACCAAATTTAACGAAATTTACAGAAAAATTACAACTCTGAAGAAATACGTTAAACCGATATTTTAAATGAAAATATTCGATGAGACACCATAATTTAATGAAAGTAAATTTTAATTGCTCGTATGCGAAATGTATGAACTTTTTGTCTCATAATTTTGTAGCCGAGTTTATAAGGCGATTTGTTTAAAATTCTAGGTAAATATCATGCAAATTCAGAAAGTTACCGAAGGGTAATAGTAGACAAAATAGCCCACGACAAAACAACTCATGACAAAATAGCTTAAATCAAAGGCTCCTAATCAAAGGCTACCACGAATAGTTTTTAAATTTTTTAGTGCCTAAAAATATGCATGTGATATAAAACAGCGCCGAGGTACATGTATAAATCAATAATTACATTTTACGCATTATAAAAAATATAGACGTTCAAATTTGATGTTTTACGTATGTAGGCTAACAGACGTATCTAATTGAAAATTGTTTCAAAACTATTTGTAAAGTAGGATGCTGTGATAATAATTTCCACGTTCAAGGCTATCGCGGCATGCAAAGGTCGGGTATCCTTTGGCCTACATACTAAATCATAATTATTATATAAAATATTCTTATTTTTAGATAGTACAACTAGATGCGAATATTGTCAATTATAATTTTAATACAGTGTGTCTATAATTAAAGAAGCCTATTTCAAAGCTGCCTACAAGCGAAACCAGTTATCAGAAAATATTGAAATTTTGTGATGGACTTAATGAAGGGATGAGAATTTCTTTCAGCGGGAAAAAATTAGTTACAAATAGCGTCACCAGAGGGCATTATATTAATAAATTATACATTTAGTTATACCTTTAAAATAGTTTTACAATTTTACAAATTTTGTTACAATAAATCATGTTCCACATGACGGTCATCCTATTCAGCTACCATTTGAAATCGCAAGATGCGGTTAACTGTGGAATATGCCATCGGTTAACTGTGGAACATGCTATCGGTTAACTGTGGAACAATCTATGCGATTATCTCAGCAGACTGGGAAACGTTCAGAACGTGGCGTGAAATGCTAGCTTTAAGATCAGGTAAAGTTTTTGGACTGTCACGACTTACCAGATGTTTTAAAAGTCTCCAACACCAAAAATCGCAT